ACTTTTGAGATAGCAATGGACGTCCACAACTTCAGTATAAAGTACTTTAAAAAGGTTATTCCATCTATAATGCAATGTGAAAATCTGCACAAAACCTCATCCATTACTAAGACACAATTTGAAGATACTATTGGGAGCAAAAAAATGACATTTTACATTAGTGGAGGAAGATTAATTGTAACATGATATTGATAAGATAATTATATTATTGATATATATGAATGGATAGTTGGAACCATGTTTGAGAAATTATCAAAGTTTTTAAAATTGAGGCTAGGTTAGTAGATTATAAAAGTTCCACCACTAAATATTTTAGAAGAAATCCAAAGTAGTTATTTAAGTAGGATCCACCATGGAACTTTCTAAAAATGATTTATAATAGTTATCTTAGTAAGATCCATCATAGAACCTTCTAGATGGGATTTAGGGCGATTATCTAAGTGCAATCCATCATCTAGGAATATTGTAGAAAGTCTAGGCTAGTAAAATAAAGAATAAATAGGACTAGCTAAGGCTTTTTAGGACATTTGGTAAAGTATGGATTTGAACCCTTTCTCTTAATAAAATTGAGATTTCTATCTTCTTATTTTATTTTAGTTTTTTCTAATTTTGATTGCTCATTTTTTTTCTTTTGTATCCTATTTTGTTTAATTCTATTTAATTTTATTCTAGTCCATTTTGTCCTACTTTATCATGAAGTTTTATGTTACTATGGATTAAAAGGGTCTTAGATACTTGAGATAGACTGGTCCTGTTTTATCAAATCTCACTTGTTATGCTTATTATTACATGATCTTGAAGTACATACAGTGTTAGATAGAATAAATGAGTTGTAAAGCATAGTTTCTAACTAACAAGGAATTTTAGGATTACTTAGATAAAGTTTTAGTTGGAATTAGAATAATCTTATTGAAGCATGATTAATAGAAGTTCACTTAAGTTGTTCAAGATTCCTTAAAAGATGTTTTGAATACCTTATGCATTATTTTGGATTAAAATTTTAACTTCAAGATAAGATCAAAATTTTCCATATCTAAATATCTAGTGCATTTCTAGGCTGATTTTCACATAACATAAGAATGTCCATATTTGTGAATTAATTTTTAGAATCACTAGGATTTTTTCTTATACAATCTCTTTATATCAATCCATTTGAATATATATGGACAATTCTTAAATCTTATTATGTAAGATCCTTTTAAAATGAATGCTAGAATTATGAACTTATATTAAAGATTATTGGACTTTAATCACTTTTAAAAAATGCAAGAAATTATACAAAAGTATGCAAAAGTATATGAGAGTTGTAATTAGATGTAGTAGCAAATAAATAGACTATTAGCTCTATTTTACATATCATGATTAAAATTAAAATTCATATTTATTTTTTTTATTTAACATATTTATAAATAATTAACTTTAGTGATTGTGCAATTATACTCTATAATAAGAACTATATTTTCTAATTTATTCAATCATTTTTAGTACATGTATTTTTTAAATTATACCAAACTAAATTGATAGATAATTATGATTATTATTATGCATTGATTCTAAAAATTATCTAATTTCTTTTTATTTTTTTTAAAATAAAGAAAAAAGTAAATACTTAGTTTAATAAATAAAATAGTTTATATCTCAAGAGACTTTACTGTAGAGATTTTTTATAAAAATAAGTTTATAGATGAAGAATTATATATATTTTGCTGTTTTGCTTACTATTAATTACAAATACCATTGAAATGATTCAATGGTGAATTCATTTTTTGATGTTTTGCTTACTATTAATTACAAATACCATTGAAAGTTCTATTTTTATTCATCATTGTATAACTTTACTATAAAAATTATTGTGAAAAATAAAATAAATTATGATTGTATAAGTGTTAGAATAAAGACTAATACAATATAAGGTATTAAACTCGATTGAGTATTAACTCTACAATAATTAATTGCAATTACAAAAAACATGATCTATGGTATTTCATTATTAAGGTAGCTTGATTGCAAGTTTTATTTGATGTTAATAAATAAAAAGTCTTACATAATATAATAACAAACAAGGTAGTGTTAGGGATATACATAGGTACTTTAATGAATACCTATATGATTAGATAGAAGTAGATAAAAGTAGATAAAAATATGTTAATTTCATAATACCTTCTAAAGAAGCTTCTTAGAACCTTCATAGACACTACTTTGACTTTACATGTATTTGTAGTTAATTGATAGGTTAGAAACTTAGTCAACAAATTAATCATGTATTGGTAGCTTGAAAAACAAGCTAACTATGTGGTGTACATATAGAAAACTTGCCTTGCAAGTTAAGATACATGTCATGCAAAGTCAATATCTTTTGAAGGTCCTATAGGACATTGCCACATAATTCCTAATTAAGAGTATATATGGAGGCAAGAATAAAGCTTTCTTCACTCTTATTAATACTTTTTTAGTCTTTAGTCTTGTTTCAAGACTTTTTAGTCTTCTTATTTTTGGCAATAGCCATTCTAGTTCAATATTATATCATCTTTGAGTGACTTTTTAATTCTTTTCAGTGACACAAGAGTGTATTGAGGATTTTCTTTCTTCAAGGTTCATGTCCTTGACGGGTAGTTATTTTGGTTGAAGTTTCTATGAACCTTGCTTATGACATCAATGTAGTCATGTATGCCAATATAATGTGCAATTTGTTCAAAAAAAAAAGATTATAAGTGGCACCAAAAACCAAGAAGTTGTTGCTATCACATAATAATAATTAAGTGTCTTTGGACTTTTTTAATTATTACAATACAAGTAATAAATTGTTAAAGATGAGAAAAAAATTATGTAATCTAACAAGACCAAGATAAACTAATTGAGGTTTAATTGGCAAATCCAATATTAAACTATAAGTAAGAAGCATAGTCCAACTATACTTATTAAGTAGCCATTGAGCATAATCGTGGTTTACTTATAGTTTGAGCTATATGATAGTCTAGGACATAGTTTATGTTACTAAAATTGAAAGAAATATGAATACAAACTTATATTGTAAGATTCTATGAAAAGAATTTTTAAATATCATAGATTATTATAACTTATGTGTTGATGATGTGATTTTTTAATAATATAATAATCCAAAATATAGTTCTCAAAAGACAAAGGAGTGCTTTGAAGAACTTGGCTTGTAAGTATTGTAATATCTAATGCAATATTTAGACTTCAACTCAATAGAATCCTCGTAGAATCATCTAAAAAATTGTTTGAATTACTTGACTAAAGCAACTATTTAGAATGATAGAGTTATAAGAGAGGATAGAAGAAGAGTATGGAGAAATTAGTTTTAACTTTATAGATAGTATGTTATGCCATGTAGAGTTAATTTTGAAGATAAAAGGAAAGCCAACAAAGTATTTACTTACTAATTAAATATTATTTCAATGTCTTCTATGCACATATTTTCACATTATTCTTTAGTAATGCAATTGATTGTTGTAATTCTTAAATCGATATGAAAGTGATAGTATTTAATTCATTTTTTAAATAAGAAGTTGTTTGGAATTATAGGAATGTTGTAACAAGATAAGATATGGAATAAATATAAATATTAAGATAATTTTTTAAATTAGTGTATATCTAAAGCATGAAGAATTAAGATTTAAGCAAGATATATCTTTTTATAGCATGAAACTTTAAGGATGCCTTATCTAAAACTAAGACATTATAAGAAATGACAATGTATAAATTTCTTGATTGGTTGGAATTGAGAAGCTTTATTTAGTTTATTTTATATTAAAAAAAGACAATCAAAAGTATTGATAAGAAAATGTAATAAAAATATTTATTTAGTTTATTATTATTATTATTTTATAGCATGAATAACATTAAAATTTTAATATTATTAAATATTTAATTTATTTTATTTGAAGTCTTTTTAAAATATTTAATATTATTCTTATTTATTTTAAGATATGGATTTAAAAAGATTTTTAAAAGTTATATTAAAAAAATACTTAAGATAGATATTAAAGAATTAAAAGTAAATTTTGTTATATTTTTTTTAATTATTAAAATTAAGATATATGTTAATATATTTAGATTTGTAATAAAAGAATATTTGGTACATTTTATAGACTCATCTTATTTTATATCCAAGAAATCAAGTCTTTTTATGGAAAAAAATTTCTAAGTAAAAGACCTTAGTGAGAATTTTTAACCATGATCTTTTAAAATATGTTTCAGGTATAAAGACCTTATAAGTAGAAAAGACATTAGATATAAATAGATTATTTAGACATCTCCAAATACTAATTTATATGATATCAAACTATCAAACTATTAAAGACGTGTTATTGGATTTATTGTAGTTATTGTAGCATTTTTATGTCATAGGATATCAATATTTGTTAATTTTTAAAATATTTGGATTGAAATAAATGTAAAACATAAAGCTTTGGTGATACCAACTACATATATACAAAAGTGGATCTTTGGTGATACCAACTACATATATACAAAGGGGATCTTTGAATGACAATAACATTACTGCATATATGTTCTAATGTACTAATAAGTTATAGAGTCCACCAAATCCTAAGAACTTCACACTCCATATAGCTGACACTATTTTAACATATTAAGAATAATTTTATTTCTTAAAGTGTTGTTGCAACATATTATGGGGCACAAAAATGGCTGGAAAGAAACAACTTTGAAGCTCATATTCAAAGAAGATGGCTTGCACACTAAGGTCCAAAAGAGTCATTTATCTAATTTAAGAGTGTGCAAGTCCAGCACCAACAAGCAAGAACAAAACTCTATGCCCAAATGCCACCCTTACACAGATCATGTTGTGACCATGTCATCCTTGCACATGCATTGACAAGTACAGATTTGAGAGATGATCTGTCTTAACACATGATGACTTAGAATCAAAAAACAAACCAAATAAAAGTGACTACCGCAATTTTTGTTTGAGATAGACCACAAATGCAAGCCAACAATTCCATTTCTCAGTGGTACAAATACAAATTAAACTTTTCATTTAGTCCATAAAATTCACATAATTGCTCGCAACATGACCAAACCACAAAAGTACAACGAATAAAATGATAACTACCGATGTGGTGGCCATTGAAAGGATCTGAATGACTACATTTTATGCCAGCTTTATCAACTTCAGATCAAGCATGCAAGAGGAACCTTCGGCACCAAACTTCATGATTTGCAGATGTCTGCAGCAGTGTCAAAACATTGTCATCCAAACTAGGGTACAGCCACGTAACCAAAGCCTAGAACCTACCCCCTCCCCCCAGTTAAGGTTTCTAGCCGCAAACTTGTGAAACTTAAATGAGATTAGAGTCACTGCGACTCCTTCTGGAATAAAAAACTAACCAAAGTCTACTGGTAAACAGACTGGAAGGAGCACTGCACTCCATCTGCAGAGAACCAAGAAGAAGTCGATCGATGATTTGAACAATCCTACAGTGTGAGCAGCATCTCGCCGTGACTTTTTTCTATTTTCTTAGAAATGTACACCTACACCTCGCAGGGGTAATCCTACCACCCATATGAGCCTTCACAACGATGTGAAACACATGATAACATTGGTCAAAGAAATATGTGGTCAAGTTGCCCGTTCACAGATTTAGATCAGGCAAAACCATTCCCCTCTTGTGCCCAGGCGATACAAGCCTGAGGCCTTCGTCAGTGTTAGTAAAGGTCTTCAGCAATTTGGACGTGTGTAAAGCTTACGAGGTAATGCTGGTGGCAAGCAGACTTTGGTTTCCTAATGAAAATGATGAAAGTCTGTAAACCTGATTCTTAATTACTGATTCTGCCCCAGATTATTTCTTCGAAGAGCTGAATCCCCCAAATCCCATCATGGCTGCCATATCTGGATCGACAACATCTGTGGACTCATCCCTTTCTTCTTTTCCCCTTTTCTTCTCCTTTTTCTTCTCTCTCTTACTCTTCTTCAGCTCCTCCTCCTCTTCTCTCTGTTTTTGTATTCTGTTATCAAAATCTTCCTCCGTAAAGCCCCCAACAGTTTTCTTCCGTTTCAAAGACTCGAACCGTTCCTGAACTTGCTGTAGCGACGCCCGCTCTACGCGCATGGACATGCCCAACGCGCGCTGATGCTTCTTCCCATTGATGTGATCTAAATAATTCGCAGAGTCTTTCACTACACACTCACACACACTACAAAAGTATCCCGCCTGCTGACTTAACGGTGCAACCGGTGTCACCACCTGCGTCTTCCCAAGCCGCGACGTCAGATCAACCTCATAGTCGCGGTTTTTTAGTGGCTTCCTCTGCACAGGGGGACCTCGGGGCTTCCCTCTGTGCCGCCCCGCCTCTTCCTCCTCTTCTTCCTCCTCTCTCTCTCTCGCTCGCTTCGCAAACTCCTCCTTGTCCCACTTCCTACGACTCGTGTTATCCACTCCTGCTGCCGCCATCCTCTCTCCTCCCAACTCAACCTCACCAAACTCGTTCCTACCACCACAACAGAAAGAAAACAAAAAAAACAGTCCCAATTCCAACTTGGGGCACCGCTACAAGCTCACGGCAGACGTCGTGACAAAGCCGGGGAAGAGTCGAACTCTAGTTGCAAAACAACCAACTGAATTGTCAAATTAGTCACTGAAATTCAAGGTTCAAATTCGAGTTCAATTAAAGTGAAAACAAAATTCATCAAAAGCAAGGGAAGTGGCAGAGGCTGAGGACACGAAAATGCGTTACCAATTAAACCTTTTAAAACTGAGCGATCCCAGCCCGAATTGCTCCCCGAACACCGCCTCAAATCAACACCACCATCATCTCTTCGGCAACCAAACCCATTGCAGGCGATGAGCTCCGACGAGTCTCGGCGAATTGGACGCGACAGACAAATTGCTGAAACCCTAGCCCTAAAAGGAAGCTACGCCTTTAATCTTTTTTGAGTGTCCATTCGTTATTAGACCTCTTTGTACTTTTTACTTTTTCGTTTTCGTCGTTCACTTTTCCGTTCATTCGACGGATGAATGAATTCACCATTGAATCATTTTTGGATGTAAAATATATAATAGTAAAGGGTTTACTTTGCATTTGAAGAAGAAAAAGAACCTAACAAGGATGCAATCACATTAATTTTTGTGATTTTATTTTATTTTAATTCTTTATTTAAAACTTGGTCAAAATCACAAATAGTGACAACAAAAATAGTATAGATGTGTGGGTTGACATGTAGGTTTGAAAAATGCACTGGAGCAATCAATTGTAATGTGACTTAATCATTAAAATTGTATGAGATGGTTTTTCACCTTTTTACCATGACGTTTAATTAAATGTATAAACCATACACTATCGTGTTATTAAAAAAATATATAAAATATAAAATCAAGTGTGCTCAAAATCATCAAATCTCAACTTAGTATACAAATTATCATTTTTACATTTAATAATTTTCTACATCTCTTATATTTTGGTTTTGACATTCCTATATTACATTTTCTAGGCAATCTAATGTGATAAATTATGTCACTGCTTACAACTCAATTTCGTTTACAAAGTTAAATTAAAATAAATTTTACTAGAAAAAAATTCATTGACGAAAATAAAACAAACATAATATAAAGCAAATAATTACACTATAAATAGTATGTTAAGTTTGCAATATCTAATAATTAAACTGGTATTACTAAAACAAGATGAGCAATTAGTTTCTTTGTTTGTTCCCTTTCCAGTTTTTGAGGCTTTTCGTTTACACATCTTAAAATCTAAGAAAAAAAAAGGGAGTTGGGATATTTTTTAAAACATTTAACCCTGCATTGAGTAATAAAAATTGCCACCGTTGCTTATGACATTCAAATATATACTACATTAGTGATTAAAACCTATGATAAAAATTAAAGATGTCCTTATGTCTCATGTTATAAAAAAGCTTTAATACTGACGCCAATCATGCAATGAATTCACAAAGTTTGGGTTTGAACATAATTTAATTAGTTACATTGGAATATTTTTTTTAAAATGAAATTTTGATGAATTTGAAGCAAAATTACATCTCTTTGACATGAAAATATAACAAAAGTTACCAACAAAATAAAGATGATTGCTGAGGAAGAAGTGTTGAAATGTACAATTTGGGAACATTCACAAAAAATTATGGCATTTAGGAAGTTTTATTGAAAGAAACAAAATCAATAATTTGTGACACAAATGATTGAATAGCTTTAGTATCATTATTTTTTAATTTCAAAAATAGAAACTAACACACATTTTCTTATTATTTGTGTATTAGTTTTTCATATATATATATATATATATATATACACACACACATTGCAAATATTACAATAAATATTTGATTGATGCATGTTTGTTTGGATTTGTAAGCATAAATTGAAACTCTTTATCATTATATTATAACACACAAATAAATTATTGGGTCCAAAATTTGAAGGATTTTTTTAATATATTAAAAAATATTTTTATTTAGTTATAATCATTTTTACCTCTAAGATATTATAAGACTAACCATGTTCTATTAAATTCTTGAACTAAGGGCACAATTATTTTGTTACCCTCATTTGGTTATTTTGGTACACTGTAGGGCTTTTTTTCAACCAAAAAGGTGAAAATTCAACCTAACTTAGAAACAAGTTCTTAGTGGTATTTCTAAGGGGAAGCAACCCAAAGATTTAAAGGGGGCTACCAAAATCTCATTGTCATAAATAATGTTACAAAGACTTGTTAAAGAAATATTTATATAAAAAATTTAGTTTTTAGAACTCTATATTTTTAGTAGAATTTATATTAAAAAATGTTTTATTTTTTCATAAATGTTCAAAATATGTATAGATACAATTCAATGTCAGATATGAAAGCAATGGAGGATGAAGAATATTGTGATTGCTCCAAAAAGAACACAAGATAAAACTATATTTTAAACATCATTTAGAAAGGACTGCTTAAGGTTGAAGAAAAATATATTTAAAAAGCTTTCATAATGCCAAATATGGTTGTATACACTTTATTATCAATTATGATCTTGAAGAATAAGATACATTACCCTATTGGGTTTTATTAAAGTTTTGAGTTTAGCTTTTAATTTTGAGCAAACCAATAGTAGATGGATTACAACTTCATAATGGTGGCTAACAACCATATCCATTTAAATAACCATAGATACTTTTAAAAAGGTATCACTGTTTGTTACTTAAACTCCTAAGTACTTTTAATAGTGATTTTATAATTATAATGTAATTAGAAGTCTCTTAAAGATCATAACTAAATTTTATTGGTTTTGTTATATCTACAAGTCAAGCATAGTATTAGCACAAGGTAAATATTTTGCATGTACCACATATCTCATTATGTTGTAGTAAGTCCTTATTTTTTGTAAAGAGGACCAATTTAGTTTGCAACCTTTAATTATAAAAAATTAAAATTAAAAAAAATTAAACCTAGATAGTTGCACATAATTTACAATTTATTTATTTATTTATGTATTATTTTCGTACAAATACCACATCTTACATGTAAACCAAGCAATCAACACAAGGTAGAAGTTACAGATCATAGTCAATCTTATTTGAATACATCCAATTTTGGTATTTTGAGCTCATTTGTTTTACCTATACCATATTAGTTAAAACGAAATAATGAAATATATTTCATCAATCCATCAATTATGCCCTCTGCACTAATAGAAGACAAATTGGCAGTCTACATCTACAAATAAAAAGTAAAAACACTTATCAAGTTCTTTTAACATTTAATCAAAGATTTGAAAGCTTTCCCGTCAATGCTTTTGCTGATGCATGGTTGTCTTTGAAGGATGCAAGTAATAAATATATTGAGTAAAAATATAAAGTTGTTGGCTTAAATACTCCTGTACTGCAGTTCAACTTTTGGGAATTTTTTAAACCTCCAAAACTTTATGTTCTAGTTGTAGAATCATAACAATTTATCATTTCATTCAAATAAAAACATTTATTATAATTTTTCTGTTATTTCGGAGCTTACATTAAACTTAAAAAACAACTAGATACTTATCTTCCAACTTTTAAATGTGAACAAAAGAAAATATGACGCAATGACAGTATTTACCACCAATACATTTGATGCACTACAAAGGCATAATAACAAATGCATGAAGGAAACATATATTTATGGAATCAACAGAAAATATAATAAAAAAATAAAAACGCATATATATATATATATATATATATATTTCACCTTACCAATAAAAATAGATATAAAAATACGTTCTTCACAAAATCTGGTTGTGTCTCCTTGCTAATAGTGATTAGAGATAATGAACTTCAAGCATGTCTATAAAATATGAACATTAATCTCAAGAACTTGAATCCAAACCTGAAGATTGTCTGAAACATGGGATGGAAACAAAGATGAAGGAAAAGGGACAAATTAGCTCATTTCTTACAATATGGTAACATATATTAATTTAGAATTCGAATCAAAAAAAATAAATATAATAATCAAAATCCCACACCAAGCAGTTTATTTTCCTGCATATCATTCACAATACCTGAACTAGAAATATTCCATTTAAAAAAAAAATGTGGAGTAGTCTCCACAACATACAAGAGCCTAATACTTGTCATCTAAAACCAGAGTCATTCTGCCTAATCAGGTCACACAATCCCTCCAAATCACAACACAGACTTAACAATGGCAGCACAAAACCAACCCACATTTGTAATGGCAGGGAGGATCCTAACTCTCCTGTTTTAATAGAATTAAACAAGCTAATATAAGCAAACAAACACAAACAAAAAAGACAATGAAAAACCAGAAAAATAATCTGTTGGTTCAGGAACAACGCAGAGGTGTTAAATGAGGAGGGGCTCCACATTAAAAGTGTGAGGTGGTGGGTGATGCTGGAACCAGCCTGGCATTCTGGCCTGATGTGGGTTATCCTGCACGAAGACAACGCTACGACGTGAGATGAAATACACGGAGTGTGTGCATGTAGAAGAAGAAGAAGAAGAAGCCATATAAGTTATTGCAGCAGAGGCAGCAACTGGGTTGAATCTCTCACTGTCCTGGTTCCATCACTACGTGGAAACCGTACCCTTGTGTTCACAGTTTCCTCACCATGCTGGTAATTCCGTGTCAAGCTCTACAGCTTCACAAGTGTTTAAAGCAAGAGGCAAAAGAGACAAAGCGCGAGAGAGAGCAACTTGCCATGCTTTGTTAGTGACCGAAGATTGTGAAAAGCCTCAACCCTCCCTCCAGAGAGAACCGTAATATCTTGACCTGCCCTACACACAATTGAGCAACAACCACTGTTGAGGGGTGCATATGAACTACCGGAAACTTCAGTCTGTTTTTTTCGCCCAAAGGTTTTACCTTTTGTTGTTATCTGCATGTTAAATTAAATATGTCTATTTCGTTTTTCTTTAGAGTCTGGGATTAGGTTTTGGATTTGACGTTGGATATGACGTGTCAATTGACTGGCAGTGTGAGAAGGAAGTGTGAGTCCGATGCAATTCTTGTGTCGCAAAATGTAGGGAAGAATCTGGTAATAGCGGGCAATGAATCCTCTCCGGCCCAGCCCTTGATGTGGTTCACCGTTTGCATCAGGTGCTCACTCAGGTGTGAGACATGGTTATGAATAAAAATGTTTCTGTTTTTTTTTTGTAGAAGTCTAATGCCTGGAAACTGTTCTGAACTGGATCCCACCTGGAACTTATTTTCTTAGAGCTTCCTGATAAACGCTTGCGGGTTGCACTCTCACACAGACTGTGGAATAAGACATTCTTGTCGCTTAGTACAGCTATTGAAGGAGCTCTAACGGGACTGGAGTGTTGAATGTCGGAGGTGGTCGGGAATCAGCTCACTGAAATTTATTACTCCGACTTTCGACGGCAACCAAGATTTCGAGTAGGTGCGAGCCTTGGGGAGCAGATTGGTGCTTGTCCATTTCAGATGCTTGCGTTCCGAATGCGATGTAGAAGCGATGTTTGTGCAGGGTCGTGAAATCTTAGATTGAGTTGGTCGTTAATTGAAACCGAAAATGCTGGTAGTTGTAGTGATCGAAGGTCTTAGTGCATGGAACTGACTGCACTGTGATCAACATATGTGCATGCTGTGTTTTTGGTAGGATTGTGGATGCTTGTGGGGTGCTCGGTGAGGGTCTGGTGATTCCATGGCACAAGTGGCAGTGAGCAGAAGCGTGGGTGTGCAGCCCAACCGTTGCGTGCAGGCCTTGGACAGTCGTGTGCATGGCGGAGTGCAGGGTGCAGTGCGAAGGAGGGTGTCGAAGTTGAACTCCCTAAAGGGACTGTCTGGTGGGAATAAATTATCTGGGCAGCTGTTCAAAACTGCAAAGACGGCTCCGAGAGGTGGATCCTTTGAGAATTCTGGGTATGTGGCAGAGATGTTCGATAGTGTAATCCAACAGCATCCGATAGTTTCGTCAACTTTGGCGTCGAGGTGGAGGGAGATCCACGGAGCGAATGACTGGAAGGGATTGCTGAATCCGCTGGATATGGATCTTCGGACTGAGTTGATCCGATACGGTGAATTCGCACAGGCATGTTACGACGCATTTGATGGACAGCCGCATTCGAAGTACAGAGGCAGCTGCTATTACAACAAAGAGAAGATGCTCCAAAAGGTAGGATTGCAGGATACAGGCTATGAGATCACGGATTACTTGTTCGCGACCACCAGTGTTGACAGCTTCCTCCTGCGGAACGAAGCGCCGGATGCTTGGAGCAGAAGCTCGAACTGGGTCGGATTTATCGCTGTCTGCACAGATGAACAGATGATCAAGAAAATGGGACGGAGGGACATTTTGTTAGCATGGCGCGGCACAGCAACTTAGCTCGAGTGGGCTGCTAACCTCTCTGGGAATATGGCCCCGGACGCTCTCGACGAGCGATCTAGTGATCCAAACGTCCCTTGGAATCAGAAGGTATTTATATTTGAAGGATTTTTGAATCTCTACACGACCGCCAATCGCCGAACGCGCTACAATCGAGCGAGTGCGCGTGACCAGCTCCTGACGGAGATTCGGCGGTTGATAACGAAATACGATAACGAGGAGCTGAGCATTACGATCACGGGCCACAGCTTAGGTGGGGCCATGTCCGTTCTGTCAGCATATGACATTGTTATGTCCGGCGTAAACCGTCATGGCGTCGATGTCGATTTTGGAACTTTTGGACAAAGCCCAACTATTAAACCTACTCTAGACCCTACGAAGAAAAGTAAGGTAGGTCGGAAAATCCCGGTGACAGCCTTCACATTTGCCGGACCCCGAGTTGGTAACAACCCTTTCGCAGATAATCGGCTTTGCTCTACTCTTTCGCATACTTCGTGTTGTCTCTTAAAGTGCTCAGTGTTTAGTCGCTTCAATCTTTCGCCGATTTTGAATCAACCTACTTGATGTGCTCACACAGACAAGATGCGCAAGCTGGGCGTCAAGGTGTTGCGAGTGACAAACGTGAAAGACATGATCCCCAAGGTACCAAGCATGTTCCTGAACGAGGAATTCACGATGTTTAACAACTTTCTGGACAAGCTTCCATGGACCTACTCCCACGTTGGGCAAGAGATTGAGCTCAACCACTTAATGTCGCCGGAACTGAGGGAGCGAGGCAATCTCCTGAACGCGCACAACATGGAAGCCTACCTGCATTTGCTCAGTGGCTACCACGGACCAGGCAAAGAATTCAGGCCCGTCGTCGATCGTTATCTGGCGCTCATATACAAGGCTTCCGACTTCGCCTGCCCCCAAAAAACTGGCATTCCGAGCAACTGGTGGCAGCTCGAGAACAAAGGCCTTGTTCGGAACAGGGAAGGGAAATGGGTCGAGGTCGAGCGAGAATTCGAAGACCTCCCTCTTCATGTCCTCAAGGAAAAAGCGGCCAAAACCAACACCGCTCCCCCTCTGAACTAAACTTTCAGATACTCCATCTAGATCGCTAGTGTACATAATACTTAGCACTCAGCTCATCTAACACTCCACGGTAACAAAGTCCGTGCGATTCAATTCTCCTCTGCTAGTTTGGCACACAAACAATGCTTCTTCCTGCAGTAGAGCAGTCACTCGTTGTGTCCATCCACTTCTCGTAATCAGAGGTTGTGGATACGTCAGTCACGTGTGTTGAGTGATAAAAAGTTGAACTAGAACATAAATAGATCTTCTCAGCAACTGCCAGCCTTTTCTCTATGTCGGAAACAAAAGTACCTACAGAAGTCAACGCCGAGTATATCACTGCGCCTATGTAAATGATTCACCGTAAATTTTAGCTGCAATAGCGCATCGTAGACTAGCAGGACAAGGATATTGTTCCATCTGAGCAGTTCGTATCGTTTTTCTCCGTTGTTGGGCTTCCATAGTAGCAGAGAGACTCCTCTGTGTCGGCCGAGATTTGTGTATCTTGTGCTGATTCATGTGGTCTATGGATGCAGTATCTCCACAGTTGTCTACCCTTCATCAAAGTGAACTCTTCATAAACTCTAGTGGAGGTGTTAGTTTAGATTATTCAACACAAACTTGTTAGGGTTGGTTACAATTTGCACTTTCTGTGGTCGTTGCTGCACTAATGAAGGTTGTGTGCAATTTGTGGTTTTGCACAATGAGATATTTGCACACAAAAGGAAACATGGAAGCCTACCTGCATTTATGCCAAAGAGAATACACATGCTTACATGCCAATGAGATATCAACAACAAGAATATTAAAATCAAACACCCCAAAAAATCACTATTGGGTCATTTCAAATTGAGTGCAAGCATCAAACAAGGTTAACAATAGACCAAGAAAAATTAGAAAAGGAATCAATTTACCATATACATACAAAGACACACATACAATTACACACACACACACATTTAGGTCACAAGTGTGTTGGACATGTTACGAAAGTGCAATCTACAGTTTTTGCAAAATAACAAAACCGTAGTCCACCCAATAACGAAGACAAAAAGTGGGTCAAAATCTAGGTATATTTCACTTCCGAGTGGTTGAAAAAAAAGAAGAAGTCATGAACAAGTATTCAACATAGTCATGACTTGACTTTGAAAAGCTTTTGAAGATGCACAGGACAACATGCAACTTTGTCATGAAAGAGGTGCTGATGCCCTGAAAGCAGGCCAAACCCACAAGGGAGCGGTACATGCTTGACCTCCCTCCACCTTTGAAAGGAAACCGTGCCCTAAGACCGAGACGAGGCAAACTGTCCAATTCAGCAGGACCGAAGACCGACCCTTACAGAAGGGAGTGATTAGGACCGTGGAGACTCGACAACGAGACAGAGAATCCCTTGATGCTCGGGCAGGCGGCTCGCCCGGGCAGCGGAAGAATATTCTCCTGATTCCCGTCGCTTTGCTCATTCACTTCATATCTGCCTAGCTTTACTTCGCTTATTGTTGTTGTTGTTGATGCTGCTGCTTCTCAAGCTTTGTCAAGCGTCGAGGCTTCGGGGGTGAGGAGTGATAGCCATGGCGCTGCGGCAGGCATGGCAGAAGGCGGGCAAAGTGCTGAATGGCGGGGCTTTGGTGTCCCCCGGATCCACTTTCGCCAGGGCGCTGAGCACGAGCTCGGACCCGCTCACACTCGAGATCCCCGTGCCGTTCAAGGGTCACAAGGTGGATCCACCATCGTCGACGGTGGAGACCTCCGCCGCGGAGCTTGTGGATTTCTTCAGGACTATGTTTGTTATGCGGCGGATGGAGATCGCGGCGGATAGTTTGTACAAGAGTAAGTTCATTCGAGGGTTCTGTCATTTGTACGATGGACAGGAGGCCGTGTGCGTGGGGATGGAGGCCGCCTTGAATGACAAGGATTGCATCATTACGGCTTACAGGGACCATTGCACACACTTGGGGCGAGGTGGGACTGTTTTGGAGGTTTTCGCGGAGCTCATGGGGAGGAAGGACGGGTGTTCCTTGGGGAAGGGCGGTTCTATGCATATGTATAACAAGAAGGGTGGATTTTACGGTGGGAATGGGATTGTTGGTGCTCAGACGCCTCTAGGTGCGGGGCTCGCGTTTGCTCAGAAGTACTTGAAGGTAGATGGAGTGACGCTGGCCATGTACGGTGATGGTGCTGCCAATCAAGGGCAGTTGTTCGAGGCGATGAACATCTCTGCGCTCTGGGATCTGCCGGTTATCTATGTTTGCGAGAACAATCATTGTGAGTGTGATTGCTCTGAAATCCTGAATTAAGGCTATAATGCCAATTGCTCACGTGAGAAGTTTCGATCGGTAGTAAGTCGACGGACGGGGTTCACTGTAGATTTCGCAGTAAAGAGTACCTCCGGCAAGAGTTGGGTCCCTAATTTGAAGAGATTCAACTGTAATTATCCAATTTGGGCATCAATTGTTGAGCCTTTATCGGATTCCTTTTGAGGATTGTTAGTGATTACGAAAAGATTACATATGGTCGGTAATGAAGGGGTGTATTGCCATTTGAATTTCTTCTCTTTCTGTTCAAGAAGCTGTGATGTCATTGACATTTAAACATGATTAGAGTGAATATCTAAGCCAATGAATATTCGTTACGTACTCTACGTTTGTTTAGTGATAAGCAGAGGTGAAGGTAAGTTGAATGAAATAGTTTGGACCTTGAGAATTATCCAATCGAAGTCTTAGGTGTCCCTGCTTATATCTTACTAGTGATGTCTGAGATTTATCTTTGCTACATTAGCCCTTGAATGGTTAGACTTTTCATGTGGACTCGTTTGTGCAGAAATTCTATCCTAATCAGAAATTGGATTTGTCCGTCGCAGATGGAATGGGTACAGCAGAGTGGCGGTCCGCCAAGAGTCCTGAGTACTACAAACGTGGTGATTACGTCCCCGGATTGAAGGTTTTATCATCTCTTCGTTGTCGAATGTTCTAACCTTGTTGCATTCAGTACGATGTTGTCTTTGTCGTTGCTAAGTCGCAGTTACGATAAAATCTGATTCATGTCCGTATTTTCACTGATTAGGCTCTGTTCTTTTCCAATTAGAGCAAAATGTAGGTCATTTCACGCAAGGAATTGCTTGCGTGATTGTCTTAATTCATTGACAATGCATATCTTTGTTCCAGGTCGATGGAATGGACTGCTTGGCTGTGAAGCAGGCCGTGAAGTTCGCTAAGGAATACTCTTTGAAAAACGGTCCCATGGTAAGTGATGCTGTTGTTTTCCTAACCAGCACATGGATACTTTACCTTCTTCTAATCATGGGGTTTACTCCATTTGCTGTGTGTTGCAGCTTTACGTCAGTTATGTCGTAACCGAGATGCTTTTGCTTGGGTTCTTTTTCTGAATTATATTTTCTGGCATGGAGGTTTTGGAGATGGATACGTACAGATATCATGGTCACTCTATGTCTGACCCAGGCAGCACCTACCGAACCCGTGATGAGATCTCTGGTGTACGACAGGTGTGATTCTAATCAAGTTGACGTTCACTGCATTGAAACTGTTTTCGGTTAGGAGGGTATTGATTGTTTGCCCTGAGTTGCTGAGACCCAGATTTATTTTCTTACACTTTTTTGCTGATGTATACAGGAGCGTGACCCCATCGAAAGGATTAGGAAACTGTTGCTATCTCATGAGTTTGCGTCAGTTGCGGATCTGAAGGTGAATATCAGTACTATACATTCAAATTCTTAGAATCTAACAATTGACATTATGCTTTAAGTACTTCATGACTACACCTCAGTAGTATTTTTCTTGAACGATAAGTTGTGTTTCTGGTGTCTGCAGGCAATTGAGAAGGAGGCTAAAAAAGAAGTTGAAGATGCTCTTGCTAAGGCCAAGGTTTGTAACTTTACTTCAGGGCGATTAACTCTGGCTGCCCATGGTTGCTGGGACCCATTAGTCGACATTCCAACATCTGCTAACACTTTAGGCTCCTGATACGCATTTTCATCACCAAGGTAATGCATGGTCTCGTTTCTGAATTCTGTTGGTTGTATGTTTTTCAGGAGAGTCCCTCGCCCGATGCGCCTGAACTATTCTCGCACATCTATCGGAAGAGCTACGGAGCTGAGGTAATTTCAAGTCCTTGCACATTGCATCTAGCCCACGTTTTTGGTTGGCAGGAAGGATTACATAGCGTCCTATTGTCTCTGTTCACTCTGCCTGTTATTGTTTGACAATTCTTGGATGGGGAACACTAATGATGGGCATGAGGCAATTGGTCACTACAGTGACAGTGACTAATGGCACTTGCCAGTTTGTCTTACCATCTACATAGGAGAGAGACGTTATTTTGTTTCCTTCTTAACACAAGGAGTCTGTTTTGAATCACAACTGCATTAAATCTTTAGACCTATGATCAGGAGATGTCTGTTTGTTTGTCATTATTTCTTCTCACTTAGAAGTTGTATTTTTTGAGCTGTCTTCAGTTCGAGTGTGGTTCATATTTACGCGTGTATGTTTACAGGCGTATGGAGCTGATCGCAAGGAGTCTACTGTCAAGTTGCCTTGAACTCTTTTTGACTTACTGGCGTCTTTTGATTGCTCTACAAATGTTAGAAGCATATCATTACAGCGATGACGACGAAGTGCTAACTTATTGGTAGATTAATGCTACTACTCATGCCTTGATTACATTGGTCAAACTAATCGTACAACCTCTCTGGTCTACCGTGGTGTTTCTACAGCCGTAGGGCAGACAGGTTCTGCATTTTTAGGTGTTAATTGTGAAGTATTTCTGCTCTCGTTCAAGGAGGATTTCTCTGGTGATGCCTCTTTGCATGTATCGTTACAGATCACGAGCCTCCAGAATTTTATTAGCAACTCAAGCGCCACATGGTTCCTGCTTCAGGCAGTATTGCGCATAATCGACCAAGTTCTATTTCTGATGCTTGGTAATGGTTAATTTTTCCCACATTGAAGTAAATTTGTTGAGGTTGTGGCAATTTAGAGGGAGGAGTTAGTAAGCTTGAAACCTAATCACTAGTCGTACAATGATTTAGTAGGTGCTTAGCACAAGGAAGACTTTCTCTTCTCGTCTTAGTCTTTTAGATGCAATTGAGCAAATAATTGTGTAACGACCTCAAGTATTCATCTATGATTGTTTCTAAAGAGCACTGTGTTTGATGACTACGTAACAAATGGTAATAGCTTTTGACAGCCATAACGTTGAACTTTGTTTTGTTACTACTACAACCAATTCTTTTTGAAACAAGTTCAATTTGTAGGCTGATCTTCTATATATGTACATAAAATTAAGATGCTTGTGGATGGGAGTAAGAATTCTGCTGAGTTAACAATGTGAATGTAACACCATTTACAGCTTGAAATAGTTGAAATTTTATTTATGATTTAGATGATCAACAATCTAATAATATGTTTTAAAATGTACCGAGTTGGAATATTTGTGTGTTTATTTATTTATTTATTATTATGTATATTATGTATATTGTTGTAGTATCTTAAGTCCATTGGGTTTGTATAATTCATCAAATACTTTGTTATGCAATATGTTGATAAATCTCTCCATATTCATACCATAGATTTGGTACATAATGATTATTAGTAGTAGTTTGACTATTTGAAAAGAAAATCATATATTATTCTACATTTCAAAACAATGCATACAAACAATATAAAGTTGTCAATATTTTTTTATTTAAAGAATAATGAAAAAAAATTTATATATATATATAGAGAGAGAGAGATAGAGAGAGAGAGAGAGAGAGAGAGAGAGAGATAGAGAGAGAGAGAGGGAGAAAATTGTTAAATTGATCCAAACATCTAGTAAAATAATCTATCATCATAGGTTGGGAATCCAACCATTTTTTTGTTGGTTTTTAACCAATGTGGATTTGATAGTAGAGAATTTTTAAATAATGGTTAGGATAGGTGGATCAATTTGATAAATACTTAGGTCAATTTAATAATTCTATATATATATTAAAAATTACATTTTATTTTAACTTCCTTGTTATAAAATTGATATTTTTACAACACATTATATTTACAACAATAAAAGAACCTATACTATATAGAAAAAAGATTTAGCTCAACCACAATCATTTCTCCACCTATTAGCTCATGTTATCATCCTACTTAGTCGGACCACATAAATATCTCTATGATTTCTATTATAAATGACAAACAAAAATCTAACAAGTTAGGTATTAGAGAGATTATTCTGTGGCTTGTTTGTGGCTAGGATTTCACCCTTGTACCTTTCTATGTCTTGTTAAAATCTGTCTTGACCAAGATGATGCATCCTTGACTTGGTTTTACAATTGCCTTGTGGAAGTTCTTGGCTATTTGTTTGTGAGCACACACGTCACCTCAAATATCTTTATTGAATCTTAATCAGATTAAAACTTGGCTAAATATTTGGTTGAGACATTGGATATTGCAAAGCTTTAATATTTGCTTCTAGGAGAATATGGAAGTAGGAAGATCCTAGATAGACACACATGACATGAATAGAATGAGCCATGCACTTTAGAAGGCTCTAAATTAAACAAGAGTAATAGAAGATACATTGATTTAAGAAGCTTAGCCATTAGAAGACATAGATAAGAACAACTTTGTGATCCCTCCTAAGAGCTTAGAAATGGTAGAAAAATAAGTGACAAGACTACATGCAAACGATTTTTTAACTCACTAATATGAACAAATTCTATTGACACAATCTGCTTTTAATATCAACTATGACATGGTTAGGACATTGAAAGCAAATAATCTAATTTAGCTTCAAAGACCCTTGTTGTCAACATTATATAGTCCTATTGGTCAAAGATAAGTCTCTTATATTAGATATTGAAGATACAATACAAGATCTACATGCTACTAGCTATGAAGCTACATCATCCTCTCAAGTAATAGTGGATGTCCTAAAGACACTTTCCAATACAATCCCAATTGAAACACCCATTATCTTGCAATTAAGTAAAAGATCTACTCCACTTGACAAAAGTTCAATATTCCATCTATTGAATCCTACTATCTATTATGATTTGCTTCAAATTCAAAAGATTCTTTCTCTTTATAGCAAGTGGTTCATCTGATTTCTAAGAATAGACCACTACTTTGACACTTATAAGTTTCAAATCTAATTCAATGACCTACAGATAATTCTATAGATAATTGAACTCCTTCATTCAAAATATTGAAACATTAGACACTCATACACATCCACGTTTGAGACACACAATATCTTCATTAGCATATTTGAAGAACCTCAATACCTTCTCCTCACAATATGGCAGCAAACTAGACAAGGTTTCTTACAATGCAGAAGCATACTATTTTTCAAAATATTTGCACAACTTAATGTAGAAATTCCAGCCTTAATGTGTAGTATCCATCCCATTCTCAAAAACATATCATCTTATAGACGTAATCTTGTACTCATAACCAATAAATATAAAAAATTATCCATTTTAATAGTATTTGATAAATAAGTACTATATCTAAAATTTTCCACTACCAAAAATTTTTCAACTATATTAGAAGCCTTGGCCTTGACCTCTTTTAGGAAAGACATGGAAGAATATCTTGATACAAAGCTAGAAGAAATCTTAAACTATGCTTGCTTGGCAACAACTAACATACTATAGCATGCATTACTTATCATGATCCCAAAAGAGAAAGTGTTCATTTTACAATAAGGCCTAATATTGCTAATAATGCCTACTAACAATAGAATTCTTTTTGCATTCCCCTCAGCTTTAGTGACTTGTATCATATTGATCAAAATTATAACTAGTATTTTTGGACCTCCTCTATACACATCAAATAGTCGTTGCTCCTAGTATGATATTTTGTTTGCCAAAACCACTTTCCATTTAAAAAATAATATAAGATTGGATGTCTACACTCTCTTTGAGTAGCTATATACTTTGTCAAGACAACCTAGTATTCTTACAAGATTTCAATAGTGTAGCAAACACATATCTTGTGCCAAAATTATATTAAATCTCATAATTTTGTACATATTTTTGTACTTATATCAAAGATCTATTTGAGTCTTACACAAATTTTATCACCCTCAATAATTGGACTCTAGTTCAAAACCTAGATAAAAAGTTGTTTGTCTTGATTGACTAGCAAAATGTTACATGTGACTTTTTAGGCAATATAATATATAAGCCAAAAAAAACCTTGACTTGCACTTTTCTTGTTTTATTACATATGTTAAATTGACCACTAATAATGAAGGAGAATTTATGAACCAAAGTACTTAAACATGCTTCAATTACTCCTTCCTAACCAACTTTATGTAAAAAAATAGGAGTGAATCAATTCTCTAATAATATCATACTTAAATATCTAAAGTTGTGTATGACATTCTTTCATAGCAGTGACATGGTCCGATGAATACCATAGTTCAAACCAACAGTGGTTATGATCCTCATAGCAACCTTTGAAGACTTTTTAGAGCTCAAATTAGAAAAAAAAAAAATTTGACTTGGCACTTATAGGTATTATAGAACAACTATAAGCACTTTGGACTACCACCAACTAATAACTAAGGAATGAAATAAAAAACAATTGAAGGTATTAAGAAAATATCTTTTAGATGCAGACCTCTATATTACAACATCTATGATAAGATGGGATACAATGCCATGTTTTTTCCATTACATTCTTTTATACTTGAGATACTTTCAAAATTTAAGCAATTATTGGCAAAATAGTTTGTACCCATACCTTTAAACTAACAAACATATTTGCAATAGACCATGGCTAAGATATATATATTACTCAAAGACCACAATACAATGCCATGATGTCAATTACAATCTTTCTTCTCTATTGCATGGTATCTTCACAAAAGCTCATTGTTGTACAACCATGGTTGGTATAAATAAGTCAAACTCATAGACAAACAATGCATTGTAGATACAACCTTACAATAGTATCTTATATACTACTTTGGCTGCAAAATCTCAAAGTACAATCAACCAACATATAAGTTACCATTACCAATATAATTTCTTACTAATTTCTTGAAATAGTTTTACTATACATTGTTGTCAAAGACTATATTGCTACCATAGATGCCATCACCAATATAAAAGACAAGGTCTTTTTGGGCCTAAAATGAATCTCCAAATACTAATGTATTCTTCACATTGTATAGTAAAAATTCACCATCAAAACTCATGGAACAACACCAAAAATAATCTTAATAGTAGCCATTATCATGCAACCTAACATACATTTGCTCAATGTATCTAATTTATAATCAATATATATGGATGTTTTTCATAATTAGTAAGCTTTGTTGAAATTCAAGTCCTAAGATAAATCTATTTATACTTAGTTGGTACCACCACTTGATAACAAGGGCAAAGCATTAGTAGAAACGGCCTAAAAAACCAAATTCATATAAGTTTCAAACTTGCTACTCATCCTATCTTACTAATATCCATTATTTGTCAAAAATATTATAATGGTATATTCTAAAGACCATTTGTCATGGATATATATCTAGTGTAATTATTACCTATATAATATGAATAGGTAGAAGTAGATAAAAGTAGATTAGTTTCATAATATTTTTTAGAAAAGCTTTTTAGAAGCTTTTTAGATGTTGTTTTGATTTTATATATGTTTGTAGTTGATTGATAAGTTAGAAACTTGGTCAACAAGCTAATCACATGCCACATGTATTGGTAGCTTATAGAACAAGCTAACTATATAGTGTCCATATAGAAAACTTTCCTTGCAAATTAAAATATGTGTCATGCAAAGTCAACATGTTTTTGGAAGTCCTATAGAACATCACCACATAGATCTTAGGTAGATAGTATATATAGAGGCAAGAGTGAAGTCTTCTTCACTCTTGTGAATTCTTTTTTTGCTTCTAGTCTAGTTTTAAGAGTCTCTAATTTCCTTGTCTTTTGCCAAAAGCCATTCTAATTTTTTTTTATTATACGTACTTCTCTATTTTTATTTTGTCATATTTCTTTGAAAGAGTTTCAATTATTTATTTAGTTTCATCAAGTTCTTATCTTTGATAGATTGAAAAGAATTCACTTATAATATTAGAGCTTTGTCTTTTCTTAATTAAGAGTATATTATTCCTTTTTCTCAATAAGAATTAAGCATAATAGGAGTTGTAGATTATCCTCCTCTAAACTAATATTCTCTTTAGTATTTATTT